GGGGGGTGGGGTGGGGGCTGGACAAGAGGGTGTCTTGCATTTTACAATTAACTGGACCGAGCGGAATTATATTTGTTTTTATTGGATTATAACTGGCACTGATGTATGATTTTTCATATCTAGACAGGACAAATACAGAAATGTGAAAGTTATGGAGAATGGAGGTGGATCACGGGAGAGGGCTAGGTTATTAATGAAATGGAATCAACAGATCCCCAAGCATGATGATTATCAGAAGGCTTCTTCTGATCCAAAAAATGATCAGATGGCTTCTAGCACAGAAATTGGGAGCATAAAAGATGAAATTATTGATGCTAAGCCTCTTGCTATTTCTGGTCCAGAAAAATTGGCAGAGAATTCCAGTCCGTTGAAGAATTCAATTTCAAGGTAGGAATCATGTTTTTATAATTCTTTGCATAGAGAGGTTCATTTTTCTTGAGATAATTAAGTATATTCTGCAAGACCAAAACTCCCTAGCAGTCCAGAGTGCCGAATTTGTAATTACCAATCTTAATTTATGCAATTACTGAAAATTCGTATCATGGCAGTACTAATATAGTTATGTTGACATATGATAGGCTATAGTTATATTGGCATATTGTTATTACTTGGGCATGCAAATGCTATCGATTTGTATGAGCTATAGCCTCGGAATCACCCTCATCATAATGCTTAAGATATCCCTTTCTATGATTTTGGTTATTATTAATCCAAAAAATGGTACACCAATTAGATGATCCATATCAAGAAAAATGCAAGTACAAACATTGAATGGTATTCATTTCTTTGGTTTATATGCAACCTATGGAATTCACTACTCATTTTTTACTGATGTATCTTTAGGCTAGAGGATCTAATATTGGAAGCTGTAGCCATATTAAAGGAGCGAAATGGATCTAACAAGAGTGCTATAGCAACATATATAGAGGTATTATTCTTCATCCGCTCCCCCAGAAAAAAGGACACAAAAGGAGTAGTGGATTAATGTCTCTAAATTTTGTTCTTAACAAACAGAAGTGGGACTATCTGAAGTCCAATATTTTGTTCACTTGGATATGTTGTCTTTGAATTTCTTTACTTGCAAAATACATCCATTATTTGAATAGAAACTGTTTTGTCTTTGAATGGCATAAAAAAAGGCCATTACCCAATGTTGGTCCCAGCTCTCTGGGGTCTTGGGAGGGGTAGACTGGGTGTTGTCCTTCACAACCAAAAATGGTACTTTCCTAACCTATGGCATAAGAGTTTGAAAGGCATAAAGTTTAGAAAATAATGCAGACCCAAGGTCACAGCAATCCTTCAGTTGATACTTGATAGGTTTCAGGGCATGATCCAAAGTTCCAAAGTCCAAACATCTACAGACCTCAACCGTGGTCCTTATACTGGATTCCAGTTTTAAATTCCCAAATAACACATTTTTATTTCTACAGATTGTAGATTCTGAAATCACCAGTTTGTCCAGTGAACCGAGTTTTTTATTCTTCTATAGTTATACCCTGTATCTATTTTACCATAATTAGTTCATATCTTAATTGAAGCCCTGAAATTTTCCACTAAACAGACTTTATATTTTTGTTCAAATTATGTTTATTTCTATATGGAAATTATTTCTAACATTAACAGTTGTCATTGCATAGGAAAAATACTGCAGAGTCCAAAAGTTCAACAAGGTCTTGAGTATGAAGTTAAATGCTTTGGTATCAAGTGGAAAACTCATAAAGGTAAAAGACTCTACAACCCTCTTATTAGTAACTAGTCCAATGTCATGCAAGGTGATAAAAATTGTGTGAAGGTAGCCACTTTGCCCTTGAAACCCTGGAAATCTTGTTTAAATACTGAGAAATTTGGATGAACAAAGTGTGTATAAAGCTACCCACCAAAAATTGTAGCATGTTTAAATCTTGAGATCAAGTTACATGTTAGTTTTCTAATCCTGTAGAACCCATTTAATCTCTTGACTTGTGGATAAGATTTGCATGTAACTGGGTTTAAGCTTTAAGTCAGTTTCTCTCTAGAAGAAATAACATGTGTTAACCAAGTATCCGTCAAAGACAGCTCTTCTCTCAAATATTCACCATTTCAGCCAATATAGTTAAGCCATCATGTCTACTATTGCCTTTGGCAGGTAAATCGCAAGTACCGGCTTCCATCAAGTCAAGCTCTGCTAGAAGAAAGAAAACCTGACGCTCCACTTCCACCATGTCCAATTCTGCTGGAAGAAAGAAAACCTGGCGTTCTACTTTTGGAGGGAAGGCCGATAGAATGCAAAAAAATCGAAGAAAAAGATGTCAAGCCTCTTACAAAGTTTCAGATTGATGCTGAACTTCAAAAGATGAGGAACATGACTGCAGAGGAGGTAGCTGCTGCTGCCGCTAAGGCAGTTGCAGAGGCAGAAGCAGCAATGGCAGAAGCTGAAGCAGCAGCTCGGGAAGCAGAGATGGCAGAAGCTGATGCAGAAGCTGCACAAGCATTTGCTGAAGCAGCAAGGCTAACTTTGAAAAACTTAACTGCTTCAGCTGTGGGAGTAATCTCTCTCTCTCTCTCACACACACACACGCACACACACTCACACACTCACATGCAGACATAAGGTGGGGGATGGATAAGATAGCATGGAAAAAATAATCAAGAATTAGGTGATTCTGTAAAGACTACTGGAACAGACCAACAGAAAGCAGTTAATCAGTTTTACAAGAGGAGGCCACATCAGCACAACTAATCGTCCACTTGCAACAGCTGTAACAGAAAGAAATCAAAGATTGTAAACAATATAAGTAGTGAAGCACAAAGAGAAATAAGACAGTAATTCTTTCGGCATTAATCTCTCTCTCTCCTTCCAACGAATTCAAGAGGTTGGCTCCCTCGAAGAGTCCTGAGTTAGGCAGGTTCCTAACATATCAGAGCTAGCATGACCAACACAAGAAACACGTCAGTAGACACCCGAGTGGATCAGATGGAGGTAGAGATCCATCGAATGTCTTCAGATCTCAAAGAAATGGAGGAAGGTTTCATTGCTCTCCTCAATCAGCTGGAGCAAGTGGCAATGAACAACGACAGAGGAAGCCAAGAAGAGCGCAGCAATGAAAACAACCGTAGAACAGGGCCGGCGGCAACGAGAGCAGCCAAAATCGATTTCCCCATCTTCTCAGGCGGCAACCCAACTCCCTAGATTCTCAAAGCCGAACGGTACTTCGATTACCATGAGACACCTGGGCAAGACAGGGTAGCTTTGGCTTCTGCGCATCTTGAAGGGTAAGCTATCCTCTGGTTTCAATGGTACCGACGGGGGCACCCTCGTTAAAATTGGGCAAACTTCACTGATGCCATGACTATCCGTTTTGGATCGTCTGGGTTCGAAGATCATGATGAGAGTTTGGCAAAGCTACGACAGGTGGGATCAATTAAAGATTACCAGATGGAGTTCGAAAAGCTAGCCGTGAGAGTCCAAGGGTGGACGGAGAAGGCGCTTGTGGGAAGCTTCGTCGACGGCCTAAAAGAAGAACTACGACTAGAAGTGAAGGCGATCAACCCACTTCATTCATAAATGCAGCAACACTAGCAAGATTGTATGAGGATAAGTTCGCTCAAGCAAGAAAGGTGCAATGGCCATGGGGTCCAGGAACCAGGACCACAACACCAAACAAAGAGGAAGGAATATTGCGCCCATGCCCATTGGTTCCTTTCAAACGGCTGACCTGGGTAGAGATGCAAGCCCGTAGAGACAAAGGACTTTGTTACAACTACAAAGAGAAATTCGGGTCGGGCCATTGGTGCAAGAAACAACAAGCATTTCTCCTCCAAATAAATGCCGAAGAGGAAGACAACCTCACCGGTTGCAGGGAATCTAACCCAAGGTGGGAAATACAACCTAATGGCACACCTGAAATATCTCTACAAGCCCTTACGGGACTTGCGTCCCCTCAAACAATGAGAGTTGCAGGGCTAATCTAGGGACGCCAAGTGTCAACCCTCATAGACAGTGGCAGTTCCCTTAACTTCATAACTCAAGTCTTGGTGGATAAAATGAGACTCCCAGTTCACCCAACAACTTTTACGGTTCATGTGGCCAACGGTAATAGCCTATCTTGCAATAGCATTTTCATGGGCTTACCACTAAAGGTTCAGGGTCACCAGTTTGCGGTGGACCTATATCCTCTTCATCTCATTGGAGTGGACATGGTGCTAGGCATTCAATGGTTAAGACAGCTAGGGTCCGTTATCTATGACTGGGCCCATCTCACCATGGACTTCACATCAGGGAACTCTACAGTCCATCTACAAGGGCAAACATGGAAGGGTCCAAGGCCCATCAATCTTGCAACATTAACAAAGCAAATGGGAGATCCAGATCAGCCCACATTCATGCACATGGACTCAAATTGGACCAGCCCATCTTTAGCTAACAGTAGCCCAAATGGGCCTAGAGACTTCCAAAGCCGCCTACAACAACTCCTTCAGCAATATGGCAGCATGTTAGAAGAATCCCAAGAACTTCCACCATGCTGGGAGCATGACCACCGCATCCCCCTCATGCCGAGAGCTGCCCCAACCAATGTAAGACCCTACCGATACCCTTACTTTCAAAAATTTGAAATCGAGAAGCAAGTTCAAGATATGCTTAAGTAAGGAATAATACAACCCAATCACAGCCCATTCCCTTCACCAGTATTATTAGTCAAAAAGAAGGATGGGACGTGGCGATTTTGTATTGATTACAGATCCCTTAACAATATCACCATTAAAGACCGATTTCCAATACCGGTCAGTGATGAGCTGCTTGATGAACTCAGTTAACTCACCATATTCTCAAAATTAGATTTACGAGCTGGGTATCATCAAATAAGGGTACATAGGGAGGATGTTCACAAAACGACTTTCAGGACCCATGATGGCCACTATGAGTTCCTGGTCATGCCATTTGGGCTGACCAATGCTCCAGCCACATTTCAAGCATTAATGAACGACATATTCTGGCCATATTTACGTAAGTTCATCTTTGTTTTCTTTGATGATATATTGGTCTATAGCCCCAATTGGGAGGAACATCAGAATCATCTACAGGTCACCCTAGCAACACTTGAGGCCCACCAATTGTTCGCTAAAGAGTCCAAGTGCTCCTTTGGACAAAACCAAGTTCACTACTTGGGACATGTTGTAGAGAACGGAACTATAGCGGCCGACCCAGATAAAATCTCTAGTATAATGGGCTAGCCGCAACCCAAAAGTGTGAGAGTTGAGGGCTTTCTTGGGCCTGACTGGGTACTACTGCCGCTTCATCAAAACTACGGCCTAATAGCTACCCTGTTGACCCAATTGCTGAAACAAGATGCTTTTCACTGGTCAACCCAGGCCCAACAAGCTTATGAGTAGTTGAGACAGGCAGTTGTGAGCCCTCCAACATTAGCATTGCTCGATTTCACAAAAGACTTCATCATTGAGTGTGATGCCTCCGGTCAAGGTGTTGGGGCTGTTCTCATGCAAGAGGGGCGACCACTAGCCTTTTTCAGCAAGGCTTTAACATCATCACAAAAGTGGGCTAAATTAGTTTATGAACGAGAATTAATAGCAGTGGTCTTAGCAGTCCAACGTTGGCGATCTTACTTGCTCGGTAGACGGTTCATAATTCGGACCGACCATCAAAGTTTGAAGTTCTTATTGGATCAATCAGTCCTATCCCCGGAACAACGATGGATATCCAAGCTACTGGGGTACGACTACATAATTGAATACAAAATAGGGGCTGCTAATCAGGTGGCTGACGCCCTCTCACGGCACCCACAATCATTTCAGTTACTAGTATCTTCCCCAACTTCTCCACTCCTAGATCTACTTCGGAAAGAAGCCCAATCCCATAGAGAGTTACAGCAGTTGAAGGCCCAAGTATTGGCAAATCCCTCACTGCACCCTGGGTACACCATTAAGAATGTTCTACTCTTCTTCAAAGGACGCCTGGAAATTCCAACGGATTCTGCTCATCTCAGGAAGCTCCTGGAATTATTCCATGCCTCATCCACAGGTGGCCACTCTGGCATCCTACGAACACAAAAACACATCGCCACACAATTCCATTGAAAAGGCATGCGTACATCTATCCAGAACTTCATAGCCGGGTGTGCAGTATGCCAACAAAACAAGTCGGCCACTATAACACCAGCAGGCCTCTTGCAACCACTCCCAATACCAACCCAAGTTTGGGGTGATATATCAATGGATTTCATCACAAGATTGCCCGTTTCTGCCAGCAAAACAGTTATCCTTGTGGTAGTGGATAGATTGACGAAATATAGTCATTTCCTTCCTCTATCACACCCATTTACAGCAGTCACAGTTGCTGAATTGTTCCTCTGGGAAATTGTACGCCTACACAGGCTCCCCAGCTCAATTGTATCATACAGTGATCCTATTTTTATGAGTCATTTCTGGGCTGAGCTTTTTTGCCTACACGGGGTTAAACTCTTCAAGTCAACTAGCTATCACCCCCAATCTGATGGACAGACAGAGGCGGTTAACAAGAGTCTCGAGACATATCTGAGATACTTTGTAGGAGATCGACCAAGACAATGGGTGAAGTGGATCCACAGGGCTGAATGGTGGTACAACACCACTTTCCATAGCGCCGCTGGGATGACACCTTTCAGAGCTCTATATGGTCAGGATCCTCCCCTTCTACTTCCTTGTGAAAAAGGGACCACCACAGTAGCGGCCTTAGAAGAACAGCTGACACAACGAGATGAGGTGTTAAAGGAACTGAGACATCATCTCTTACAGGCACAGCAATGGATGAAGCACACCTATGATAAACATCACAAGAATGTCCAATATGAAGTCGGTGATTGGGTGTTTCTCAAATTATAACCTTTCAGACAGATTTCAGTTGCAAGCCGACAGTGGAAGCCCACGCTATTTTGGACCATTTAAAATCCTTGAGAGAATAGGGGCAGTGACCTATAAACTGCACCTTCCGGCAACATCAAAACTGCACCCTGTATTCCATATCTCCTTACTGAAGAAAGGGCCGAAGCCAGGAGTCATTACAAGTGCGACCCATCCCACATTTTCAGAGGAAGGACTAGTGCAGATTGATCCAGCCCACATCATTGATTTTAGATGGGTGGACCGGGTTGGAAGAATCATACCAGAAGCATTAGTTGTTTGGTCTAAACTCCCAGAAGAGGATGCAACTTGGGAATCCTACTTAGGTCTGCAATATTTTCCCACATTAGACCTTGAGGGCAAGGTCACTCTAAAGGAGAAGGGGGGATTGTAAAGACTACTGGAACAGACCAACAGAAAACAGTTAATCAGTTTTACAAGAGGAGGCCACGTCAGCACAACTAATCATCCACTTACAACAGCTGTAACAGAAAGAAATCAAAAACTGTAAACAGTACAAGTAGTGAAGCACAAAGAGAAATAATACAGTAATTCTTTCGGCATTAATCTCTCTCTCCTTCCAACGAAGTTCGTAACAGATTCTAACGAATCTGACCTTCKAAAGCCTGTTGACTGGTCACCAAAAGTTTGTTGACTATTCAGATCAGTGCAAAGTTTCAATTAACTGGGCACCATAGGGTTCTTTTGCCATGCAGAAATTGCAGCAGCCATTCTGGGGTCAAACGAACCTACCAGATCTGACATTGCTGTTCTGTACTAGCATTTAACAGCTAATACCTGCATAAGATCAATCTTAATATTTTTATTCCTTGTAGTGGTGATATTTACAGGAATCTTTTGCTTCTGCAGATGGTTCACGGTTGACCATAAACATCATGATTCAGCTCAAGGAAAAATCAACATCTCAAGACTGTTCCTCATTTTGTTCATAGAACCCCGGTCACTCGTATAGGGACTGGTGGGTGCATTGAACAGGTTTTCGGATTTAAAAATCATATTGTAAAGAAGAGGAAGTTTCCAATTTTTTGTGGACTTATTCTGTGTTGATCTCAGATTTTTTGACTTAAATGAGCTTTGATGGTAGAGCTGTTGATGAGATATGTCAAAGAAAATGAGTATACATGTATTGGTTCATTTTTGTAGATAAAGCCCAAAAAAAGCTTCTTTTTGGCATTGCATTGGGTCTCAACTTCTCTATTTGTACTGGCTTCAATTTTAAATATCAATCATCACTTGTAGTGTTTAGTGGGGGATCATGGTAGCAAGGTTCAAAATATCGATATGCCCGATATGCCGGTATGGGCGTATCGGGTGAATTGATACTATTTTTTTTTTGTTATTTTATTTTTTTTTTCTGAAACCGGTTCAGGGGGTGGTTTAGGTCTCTTCCATCCCTTGAACCGGTCAGATCTCCGATACACCCATTATAGGGGCATATCGGTGGGATTCCGGAATGATATGTATCAGTCAATATAGGCCGATACGTATCGGTACTTTGAACCTTGCATGATAGCATGTCAAGCAGAACCTGAAAAATGGGAATTATTATTATATTCTGTTGAATTTGGATGGAGCAATTGAAGTATTTTAATCGGAAATGATTAATGAAGTATTTTAACCGAAAATTGGCTTAAAATATCGTTAAACAGTTAAACAAAAAAAAAAATGCAAATACGAATTTAAAACAAGAGCCATATGGCCCATATCTTCCATTTAGCTGTATTGAGCTTTCAAATTCTGCCTCGGCCCTTCTTAGTTTCAAACGACTCTTTACTCAACTTCAAGCCTTCAAGTATATGGGAAGAGATGATTGAGATGGCGGTAGCAATCAAAAAGTCCACGGTCCACCTATCAAAGACTTTGATGCAACTAAATGCAAGGTTCAAAATTTCGATATGTCCGATATGTCGGGTGTATTAGGCAAATCGATACTATTTTTTTTTTATTTTTTTATTTCTGAAACCGGTTCAGGGGGGGAGGGGGCGGTTTAGGTCTCTTCCATCTCCTGAACCGGTCAGACCCCCGATACACCCACTATAGGGGCATATCAATGGGGTCCTGGAACGATACGTATCGGCCGATTCGTGTCGATACTTTGAACCTTGTCTAAATGTTTCAACTTGCTTCAGTACCCTTAACAATCCAAAAAATGTTAAAAATGTGATCACAAATTTGACGTGACCATGAATGTGGTTATTCTAACAATCTCCCACTTGGTCCGTTGTTATTTTTTTATTTAACAAGAATTTAAAAATTTTCATAAAACCAAAGCAAGAATATTAACAACTTGGTTCTAATGATTTTAATAAATACTTGAGAATGAAGGGATCCCTGTTAGTTTAATGCAAGTAAACCCATTTACATATCAAAGTATTTGCAAAATCACCATCTTCAAAACTTAAAAAAATATCCCAATAACAGTCTACAAACCATAATGGTATATATGTCATATAGATGTCAAAATAAATATAATCAATTTTATGCACTTAAATGCACCATCTAAATGACGAACGACAATTGGTAGTGATCAACTACCCAGATCAAATGTGCACAAAATTAGAATAAATACAACGAATTTGCAATTTAAAATCAAGCTCTCACTAATTAAATAATTTATTTACATCATGGATTCCCATATCACTAACATGTTTGAATATTTTAATTAGAAATCCTTTAGCCATAGGATCTACAAAATTGCCTTTTGAGGCAACATGAGATATAGTTATTGACCCATCATTCATCTTTTCACGAGCAAAATGATATTGGACGTTGACATGTATAGCTCGAGTAATATCGTTCATCCTTGGAAAGTGTAATTGCAACAGAATTATCACAATAAAGTTGTAAGGGTCTGGATACAGAATCAATGATGAACAATTCTCTCAAAAGGTTTTTCAACCATACGATATGCCTTGTAGCCTCACAACAAGATATATATTCTGCCTTCATGGTAGATAGAGCCATACATGTATGCTTTTAGCTCCTCCAAGAAATAGATCCTCCGACCATCACAATAGCATACCTAGAAATAGATTTTCTAAAGTCTATACATCCTTTGTAATTAGAGTCATATCTGATCACCTCTAGATTTTCAACTTGGCTATATACAAGCATGTAGTGTTTAGTGTGTTGAAGGTATCTCATTACATTTTTAGCCATTTGTCAGTGTTTCCATCCCAGATTGCTTTGGTATATCCCCAGCATTCCCACTGCAAAACTCAAGTTTGATTGAGTGCAAATCATGGTATACATTAGGCTCCCAACAATAAATGCATACGGGATGCCCTTCATCTTTTCTTCCTTTAGATCATTCTTAGGACATTGATCAAGACTTAGAGTGTCCCCTTCAACAAAAGGAGACTCTACAAGAGAACAAAGTCCATGCCAAATTTCTTCAACATGACCCAATACGATAGCAAGCGGGCCATGCTAGGCATAGCACAATCGTGTGGGCAGTGCTAGACTGGGGGTTTCAGGTCCATGGACTGGCATAGCATGACCACTCGTAGCCCACATGTTGGCACGGATCGCGGGCCTATAGCAGACTGAGTGCAACCCACCCGAGGAACTAGCCATTGGGGACCCCCCCCCCCCAATAGCTATAAACAACTATATAGAGGGTATTATGTATTTTGGCTTTGGGGGGAGAAAATGACAAAAATGCCCCCAACATCTATATAACAGCTAGTTTGGGGGCACTTTGGGTAAAGTGATAAATGATTTTATATAACCAAAATACCCCTCCCAACAACTAAAAAGTGATTAGTTTTTAGGGTATTTTGGGCAATTGAATTATTTTTAATTCCTATAAATAGCCCTATTCTCCACCATTCTCATCACAAATTCAGCGATTCTCTTCTCATACTCTCTCAGGATCTCATACTCTCAATACTCTCTTTCTCTCTACCCTCCAATTCTCAATTATCGACTTTTTTCAAGTTTCAACAAGAAGAGCCTTGCTCAAGTATCTCAAGTTAGCAATTTGGGAAGCTTAGAGGTTTCGCCCATTGAAATCAAGTTGAAATTCTAAACTAGTAATCSAAGTGAGTGCAATTAAATTAATTTTTATTTTATAGAATTAAAAAACATGGTTGGCTCTTCCTGAAACCAATTCTCCAGTATGTTCAATGTTGACGATGTTCAGTCGCAACATGATAGTGTTAGCATTAATTGATATGGATGCTATTGAAGTTGTTGGGTTCCCACCCATAGTACTACTACTAGGGGTAGGAAAATGAAGGGAACTAAATTGACTAGCCCGACTTGGAAATTATTTAAAATAGAGGAGGTTAAGGGAAAGGGAAAAATGGATATTTGGCAAAAATGTAGGAGTAACTTTAGCTATTGTAGCAATGGTGGTATTGGCCACTTGAGTAGACATTTGTCACCCATAAGAAACAAGAAAAAGAAGAAGGAAAAGAAAAATCCCAAACACAAATTGAGAAGGGGGTTTGGTACTTTTAAATATTCACAAGAAAAAGTGAGGCAGGAGTTGGCAAAATATATTGTACATGTTGAACAACCATTTTTATTAGGTGAGGATAGTAAACTTGAAAAGTTTTTACGTAATTCTATAAATCCTCAATTTAAAAAAGTTTCTATAAATACTATTAGAGCATATGCTTTGAAATTTTATTATTCATATAAACAGAATTTAATTTATATTTTATCAAATCTTAATTAGACTTGCAATTAATTCTGATATTTGAACCTCTAAATTTAATATAAGTTATATTTGTACTACCAGTCATTTTATTAATGAAATCAGGCTTTTACAAAAAAGAATTTTAAGTTTTACTAGGCTTGAATGGCTACATATTGGGCCAACTATTGCTAAAGTATTTTAAATACTTTACATGCTTATGGAATTGAAAATAAACTTTTTTCTATTAGTTTGGATAATGCTAGCAATGATGATTCAACAATAAATATTTTAAAATCTCAATTAGAACTATATTTAAATGGTAAATTATTTCATATTAGACGTGCATGTCACATCTTAAATTTATGTATTCAAGATACTTTAAATATTATTTTCCATCATATTTCTAAAATTAGAAATTGTATTATATATATTAAAAGTTTTGGAGCAWAAAAAACAAGAATTTAAATATTTATGTCATAATTATGGTTTAAAATATAAACATTTTATGTTAGATGTTCAACATAGATGAAAATTCTACCTATTTTATGTTAGAAAGTTGCATTCCTTACAAACAAATTTTTATAATGCAAAAATGCTACAAGATATTATTATATTTGAGGAAGATTGGGAAATGGAAATTTGTATAAAAGATTTTTTACACAATTTTTATGATGCAACTAATGAATTTTTGGATGTTTATTACCCAACTAGTTGCCTTTTAGTTAATTAATTATTCATAGTTAGTGAATGTTTTGCAAAATATAGAAAAAAATCCATAATTTACAAGATTTATTGAAATAATGGAAAATAAATTTAAAAAATATTAGAACATTTCACCTCTTTATTGTTTAGCTGCTATATTAGATCCTATGATTAGGAAAGATGGTGTAGATATTTTACTTGAAACCATATTGTGAAAATATGAATATTGAAGTTGAAAATCAAAAAGAAAAATTAATAATTTATTATTTGAAATATATAGTTTATATGAATCTCAAATGGTAGGGCATAAAAAATCTACAACTTGTACAAGTGCAACTTCCACTTCTGGAACAACTAGTTCCAATAGTTGAAAAGGTAGAGTTTGGTCTTTAATAAGTAGGAGGTAGAAATGTACTGCAACCTCTTCAACAGGTTCAATTACTAAACTTAACTTTTTTTTACATGCAAATTTCTAGTTTAAATGATTCCTTCAACTTGGAAGGAATGGATAATTTTGATAATTTAACCTGGTGGAATGGACTTGAAAAACATTATCCAATCCTTGCTGCCTTGGCACGTGATCTACTAACCCCTCTGATGTCTACAATTCCATTGACGTCTTGTTTTAGTGCAGATACTAGGTTCTGGATGACAAGATAAGCTACATGAATGATGAAAGTCTAAAGATGTGCATCTGCTTCATAGATCGACTAGATGTTGAAGATAGATTACAAGACAAAGGAGGGCATGTTACTACGCCAGATGATTCACCTGACGCAGATGATCAAAATCAAGATGGAGATGGAGGTGAAACTTGAAGAAAAATGATGAAGACAATATTT